AATGAAACAAGTGAGGCTATTTTGAAGGACTAGCTTTTTTTTTTTTTTTTTTTTTAACTAAATCCCAAAATGTCCATCAAAGAAGTCATAGCAGTAGAGGCAGTCCTTTTCTCTTTAGGAATCACAGATAAAACACACAACAGGTAAACCTAAGCTTGTATAAACTTGTACAGTAAATACCCTTCATAATGCACACTGCAGTAACGCTGGCCCAGGCTCGTGGAGAAAGCTCCATTAACCTGCAGACACAAGAAAGCTTCTTAAAGCAGAACAGAGTGAAAATACAACCATATTCTCACTGCTTACTATGGCCACTGATAGCCTAGCGGTGGTCCGTGACACCCAGTATGACCTATGCTTAATTCACAGTTCTGCTCTTTGCAAAACCCCGGAAAAAGCATTAGAAACAAGCAGTACACCTATTCACGAGCTAAATGTAGAACAAAAACATCAAATAGAAGGTTAAGGTAGATGAGGATAAATGAAATTTGTACCTCTCTGCTCTTCCATTACAACTAATAGGTCTAAGAAGGAGAGGTTTGTTACCATCCACACCAGTGTCCTCACCATCATGGAAGTTGTGGCTAAACATCCATCATGAAACTGGGCTTGAAAACACATGATGCTCTCTCATTCCACAGATAAATATATAACCCAGCAAACCAAGAAACAGCAGTAAAAATGACATAAAGGCATTCATTTTGTAGGAGACATTCTTACAGGACACATTTGTGTAAAGATTCACTGCAACGATGACCTAGACAGATATTAATGCAGCAGGTGTTCAGTATACATCTGGGAGACAGACAAAGCACTATTAATCTCAGAAAAATAATGTCATGTGATAATGTGACATCTGGTCACACACAATAAAAGCACTGTAAAACATTTATTCTTCCCTGTTTTCTAAGTGAGCAATCTTTTAATTATCCGCATCAAAAACAGATTTAGAAAAGTGTTTGAAACATCTGGGAGAAGATGTATTTCATGTTCAGTGAAAAAGGATGTTCTTGCTTGTGGACCTGATTCTTTCCATATTTATCAAGTTTCCCTACTGAAATCAATGAATATCCGGGCATAAAAGAGTACATTTGTATAAACATGATTCTAGAACTGAAAACAAAGTTCTAACAGTGTCACTTCAAATCAAGTTCGAATCTGTGTTTTTCATGTCTTCTTCTCTTAAGCATTTCAGTGGAGATACTCTGAGTTCTTTTGCCTGTTCCTAACATATTCATCGAGAGAGTCTTGTAATAGATGTATGTAATGTAATAGAAATGCAATAGATCATTTCTTAAAAAGGAAGACACAGACGTGATGAAATACACCACATAGATATAATATCACCTGCGTATAAATGCATACAACAATCACTTATGTGCAACTAGGTTTCTTCTGGTACTAAGGACATGAACATTAATTATTCTGAATATAAAAGTGGTCTTTATTAGACTGAAAAACAAAAAAGAGGGAGGAATCTATTATGCCCCTTTTGAACTGGTTTGAATTCTGCTAAATTTCAACATATTATATGAATTACTAAAAGAACTTTCTCATTTAAACAATCTGAACAGAATTCACATGATCTCCAATAGAATCCAATATTCTCACTAAACTTTCTGCTGTGATTTCTGAATGCTGCCACAATAGTTTCATGTGTTAACGCAAGTCACCCTTTCACCTCAAGATACCAAGATATCTTGCTGGATGCTGTAATGAAAGCGTTCTAGTTCTGCTTAACCTCTCACATCTTTGCAAAGGTATTTTTGGAAGACACATTTTATTGGCATAAAATTGCTGAAAGTGTCATTTTGCTACAACAAAACCATTCTTGTAACATTAGCAACTAATCAGTAAATCCACTGGCTCCTCTGTTAAAGTCAAAGTGAACTTTAATAGATTTACCACAAGGAAGGATGCAGAAGGCAAACCGTCAGCCAACTGGACCAAGTCTTGTCCTGATTACTTCAGTTTGGGGATGTTTCAAGACCCCTTATATAATGCTATTTATTTCACCTGACATTGCAATTGCTCTTTCAAGCATGACTTGTATAAATCAAGCGAGCATCTTCAGTTCCCCCTTCTGGAAGGCTTATCTTCAAAGGCAGATACCCCTTTCAAACTGACAGTTCTGGATCTAGACTGCTCCAAAGCTGGTCCTTGCACAGTTCAGAAGACACATCCCAGTCAGACCATGAGGTCCGACAATGGTGTAAAAGGCACATCTCTTCTGAAAAAGAGCAAACTTGCTCAACAAGCTCCTTGTAAATCTTCTGAAACAAATATTTGGGTGCTCATATACAACAACAACATCCAATGTAAAAAGTACATTTTAAGTTAGAAAAAAAGTGGCAGAAGACAACAGCTTGCATCTCCAAACAAAATGATTACAAGTTTATGTCTACAATCTACAAGAAAAGGACTTATCGAGAATCCAAGTGTAACAAAATTGAAATCAATGTCAAGTATTTGCAGACAAGTATAGAGCACTCGTGCCAGATTATTATTTATAACACAGAAGTCCAGAGCAAAAAACTTGATTTACTCCTCTGACAAGTAGCTCAATGTACTTTTAAAAAGCCTGAAGCAGTACTGCCTTTAATTCAGACTTTTAATTAGCCATGTATAATTGAAATATGCAGCTGTTAAAATATTGAGTATAAAAATAAGGACAAGAATAATCTTCTACTTGCATGTGCATTTCTCAGTTAGTTATATGTTCTATTTTTGAACTTCCTACATCATTGAAGAGCAGTGTCACTATTACAACTGAGGAAAAATACTGAGGCATCATTATTATGTGATCCATTTCGATTTGCAATTATAAATTATTGAAAATGACAGAAAACGTCAATTCAGGTCATTTATTCTCAAAACCATTAACTTTCTTAAAACTACATATTTGTAATATAACAAATACTTTCTGCATCATTTGTAGGTTCTTAAGTCATATCACTTACTACTTCTCAGAGACAACAAAAATTCGTAATTGGCATTTTATTTCTGAGGAAACTAGAAGTCAAAAGAAAAAACATTTTCTAGAACTGAGTTGGACAGAAGCTCTCAAAGGCCCACAGATTACACTGATTGAGGAAGTAATAAAATACAACACTATAACTTACCAAATCATGCCATTTTGCCAGCTCTCCCCTATGCATAGCATGTATCAGTCTCCAATAGGATTATTTTACTAATTGTGCACAAATATTTCCTTTGGCAAGAGATCTTTCATGATTTATTTTAATGCTTCCATCTTGAATGTGACAGGACACTATAAACACTGTCTATACACTTTTATAGACATATTAGTAATTAGTTTATACCTATAAACATCTTTTATTGTCGTATTACTAGTAGAAATAACCAATCATCTTTTGCACAAAATAACCTTCCAGATATACTAAGTAATCTGCAATGTTCTGGAAAGATTGAGTATAATTTGAATTTATTGCAATTATCTTCTACGTTTTGTTCTTGGGTTTCATGCCCACAACTTTGGAATTAGGTTCTGAGCCTTTAATTCTCAGATCAACTCAGAAGGAAGGACCCAAAGCCATGAAGAATTTTTTTTGTTTTTTTAAGCTGTTGCTGCATTTGTTTCCAGTAAAAGTATTTCCTAATGCGGCCATTAACAACAAAATTTGAATACAGGGCAAAAGTGGCAGAAATATAGGTCAGGGAGTAATGATACTAAGATAAGGTCTTCCAACATGAGAGGAAGACAGAACCCCACAGGCTAGCCAAGAAACTTCACCCTTACTGTCTCCATGCTGGCTACCAATAAACCCTGATTTCACCCAACATCTTCATTTATTAAGTGTTATCATGGAGGAGAAGAAAAAAAAAAAGGACAAAAAAAAATTACACCTTACAAAAAAATACATCCTTGATATTCTTCTAGAAAGTATTCAGAAAAATATCATCTCTTTCTCGCATGTATGACATCAACACGATGAAGTAGTCACCAGGTCATATTCAAAAAGACTCACTCTTAATAAACAACCAAAAAGTACCATTTAATATAAACACTAGGAAATAAGTAGTTAGGAAAAAAAAAAAAAAAACCTGTTATGTAACACCACCTAGAGTGGAACACCAGGATACAAGGAATTAACACCACATGGATGTGGCAGAACCACATGGCAAAGGGAGAGCTTTCAATTGATAATAAATCTATCTCTGTGTACCAAATATGTCACAAGTCACCCTAAATAGGGAATTATTCTTATATCCAAGAAATAAATATTGAGCAGTATACAATATGAAATACATTCACACTTGGAAAGGAAAATTAATTCACTGAAGTTGGATTTTATAAAAGCTTTCTGCAGTTTTCACTGCAGCCTTAGGAGGCAGTTCCCTAAGTAGTGGATTTTGAGAAGACAGACATGAAAACACTACTTTTTTTTCCACTTAAAATCTAAAATATTAAAATACAACATACAAACAACACTTGTTCTTCACAGCATAGTACAGAGGCTTATCATTAACGAAGTTTAACTAGCACTCTTCTGAAATCTACATTAAGCATAAAACATGGCAGTTAGATAAATAGTGATAGCTGCAAAAGAGGCACTATAACTCTTAAGTTAAAAAAAAAAAATCAGACCTTAAGATTGCTCAACCCTGTATTCTATATAGCTGCTCAAGCTTGTACCCTATTGATGCATACAAGAGCTTAAGCCTCATAATGCTAATTATTCTTTGTATTATTGACTAATCAAGTATCATGTATCATTTTAATTACTTGCCTAGCCAGATATCGTCAAATATTAAACTATTTATTAAGTCCATATGGATTGTAAAGTCAGGTTTAGAAACAGCTTGTGAAGCGATCATGATAGGAAAACATCAGATAGAAAAATCCATATGTTAAGGTGCAGAGTTGCTTGAATTAGTGTCAGAACATAACAGCACTTAGGACTACCTGACAGAAGTAGCAGAACTGTTTTAGAGAATCACAATAAGCATCTATTACAAAGATATACAGGTTAACATACCTATTTCTGGTCATCTTCAGTTTCTGAATCTTGTTTGGTGACATCACATACGTCTTCCTCAGAAAATTTGTTTTCAAATTAAAAAGACCTCCATCAGAAATCACTTTCTTCCAAGGTACTGGCAGCCTTCAGCCATATTGCCCCTTCTGGCTAGAAGGCAACGATTGCTTTAGCTCCTTTATCATCTTCTCCAGGTTTGTTTTCTTGATTATGATGCACACCTGTGAGTCCTTCCTGACCATGTTCGCAGTGTTTCAGCTGATTACACTTTACAGTAAGGGTCAATACAGATATTTTCAGATAATCAATTATTTTTAACCCTGTTCATGCTAGGCAGGGACAGATTGGGACAGATTTATCCATCTACCCTTTTTTCCCAGCTTTTGCTCTTTCCTAGAAATGAGATGAGATTTACTCTGCACTCCCAAAATTCACTACATAAATAAATCTTAACATTTTGGTAGGCCTAATTGTTAAATATTCTTTCTAGTTTTCTTCCTATACTAACAAATCTGTATTTACTGGGTCATTCCATTCTCTTTACCTAGCCTTCTCACACTGTTTTCAGTATGTTTCCACAGTATTCCATTGAGAAGCATCATCATCAATTAAAAATATATATGCACAGGCTTTTATATATACATACACACTTCTTTTAAGACTGCAAATTTTTCAGCCACTTCTGAATATTTTTAAAGCTCTTTTTCATTTATGTATTCACTTATATACAGCACAATTTCTGTAGATCAAATATTGATCTTTAACATGACCCACCATAGATGCTCTGTTAACATATGCCAAATAAGTTAATAAATTCTTGATATTATATAGCTTATGGCATAGCCCACAGGTTTTAATCATATATATAGCCCCATTTACATGAACAGAATTTTGAAAGTAAATGGAAAAAGGATTTATGTTGATCTGAATGCAAAGATTTCCCATACCTAGTGTACATGTGGGGCAGAAATGGTTTTAAGTACAAAACACCAGCCACATTTTACAGTAGAAACTTCCAAATACCTACAGCACTCCCTAAGAACCTTCTTCCCCAATGTTTAATGTGTGATCATGACTCCATCTTGTATACACCATCTTACTTTTAAAGGTAAGGCTCATTACTGCTTACAGCCACTTCTAAGTCTCATGAGGTCATACGCATAGCTGCAGTGAAGAAGAGTGATTAGAAATACTGCAAACTACATAAATGTGAATATAGCCAAATACTTCTGCATATCTCTACAGAGAGTAAAAAAAAATAAAGCAAATTCAAGCCTATAGGAAGGTACAACAGAAACAATTACTGACTCTCTAAAACCTGGTGCTTCTGATACAACATCCTCATCAGCAGCAGCTGCAGCTGATGGAAAGTGATCCTGCTTGATACATAGGACAGCTGACATCATTTACTCAAACCATCATGTGTAATTGTGTTCAACAACATTTCTTTAAAAAATAAATCCTGGTCTATTTTTTTCTTGAGAAGTGGTGACACATGAAGAAGTGAATTAGGGACTAACCATTTAATGAACTTGTGGCTGGAGCTTCTACCCTGTACTACTCTTATTATCAGGACCAGGTATTTCAGAATGGGTGAGTAAACCTGCATGGGCCCTTTTGGAAGCTGGTAACAGTGAAGGCACAATTCTGACCAAAGATAAAGTGACCAAAACAATGGCAAATCGGTAAGCTGCAGCCAGTTAGCCAGTGATGTCATGCAGAGCCTTGAAGAAACAGCATTTATCTTGATGCATATCTGGTATTAGCAACATCTGACTAAATGTATTTAAAAAATATCCAAAACACCACAACAATCATGTCAACAGTCATACGGTTATTGCCCTAGTACATAAAAATCTACTATCACTGAGCAGCAAGAGTAACAAGTAGCAATTTTGGTTCTCGGAACCAAAACAAAAGGAGCAGTCATTTCTAAGTGGGAAGAGCTTTTCAATCTGCTCAAATTTGACCTGCAGTACTGCACCTCTTCACTTGTCATTAGTACTTCAAGACCTAACAGTTTCCTTAAACAAAACCAGTTTTTTGGCACCCTCTAGAGGTTTTGCTCCTAAAAAAGAAACAATTTAAAAGGCATAATTCTAATTTTCATAAAATTTGATAGATTAAAATCTAAAATTCAAGTCAAAAATAAACACTTTTTTTAAAAAAGTTCATTTTAGATGGAAAAAAAACAGGTGAAATTCTGTTTTCATTGTATGTGGTCAGATTGCTTCTGTTCATTTAATTAGCCTTGGACTGCTGAATCTACAGGAATTAAAAAAAACACAACTAATACTCTATTACTAAAAGACAGGGGAGTCTAATTTCTACTGCTAAATATTGGGGTGTTAGAAACTTTAACACTATGCTTCATTTATGAATATCAAAAAATTCATGAATAAATAAAAAAACCCCAAAATTATAAACAACTTAAAAATTAATAATGGATGACCCATGCATATAACACTACAAAATAATACCTCCAACCCTATTGCCATCCTAACTTTTTATGACTAGAATTTAAATTTTATTCATGTTCCATAAATAGAATCACTACATCTGTCATCATTTCTCCATCTCCTTCCTCCCACCAAGCACTGGGCATGCAAAGTATGGAGGGAAAAGGATTTCCTGACACTGACTATTTCTCCAAGCCTTCTGATCTTTTTGAAGAAATTGATGTTAGGATGCGACTTCTTATATAAAGACAACGTATACATTCAGATTCTGACACATCATGCTCCTCAGGTTCAAGAAAAATATGCTTAAAAATTAGACATTTTTTTCTGCTACTGCCACCTCACAAGACCAAAAATAAAAGGTCTTTCAAAGACTTGCGTGAACTGATGCATCTTTTTCAAAATCAAGCAGAAAGCAAGAATTCTATTTAGATACTTCATTATGGAAGGAAAAGAAATGCAATCTGAATATTAAAAATCCTATTTTTTTGTCCACACACAGAAAAAAAACATATTTGAAGTATTTATTTTTAAGACAGCCTAAAAATGCAAGCCATCAATCCAGTGCTTTCCCACTCAGGCAGAAACTACTGATTTGCTTGTGCTTCAAAAAAGCTCTTGTTTTGTTAAGATGTCAAATCAAAAACACATTAATTAGTGTCTCCAAGACACTTCAGTAATAACAGAAAAATATGACCATTCTATATTTTGTTCTCTGTTCTAGTATCAGAGTAATCTGAGACACAGACGTCACATTATTCCAAGTAGATGACTATATCAGTAGCTGGTGAAAACAAATTAAGACCAACTGCTAACAAAATCATAGCATGTCTGATTCAGAGAAAACTGTAATGAGACTCCTGAAATCTCTTGATGATGGGTCCTCAGGGATCCAACTCTATTTGTTATGAATTTCGATTTTTGAGAGACTAATTCACTGCATGAAGAGAAGCTGAATGATCCAACATATACAGTCTTCTCAGTGCAGGCATATGATGTTAAGCACATTGCAAGGCCTTAAGGTCGTTTACATACTACTATGTGTAAGTTCTCATCGGTAGCCTCAGGACCTTCAGTCCTTGAGATCATTAATGCATCCATCCAAAGACCACATACAAACATTAGTTAGCATAGAAATTGGTTACCTGCTCTGTTAAAAGCAAGCAGGAAAGCAGCATGCCCATGCTAAAGTCTCTTTCTTGGTCCCAAAAAACTTTATTCCCCATGCCAAGACCTGCTACTCATTCCATAATAAGTAACAGTTAAACAGAAGTTAGAGCTCAACAACATGCGAATTTCTCTGAGGCAGTGCAGATGTCCAAGAAGACAAAGCACATTTGTGAGTTCTTTATCCAGAAACGCAGTCTTCCACCTAAGAAAAAGAAAGTCAGCATCTTTCCTTGACAAAGGGATGATCCTCATACAAATGCCCCATGAAACCTTGCTCAAAGCAGAATCAACAAGAGAGGCTTCTAAGGACAGTGTCCAAAAAGCTTTGGAGTATCTACAAAGATTTCAGTTCTCTCAAACTTGTCCTGGAGAACCCAGCACTGAATGCAGGACTCCAGGTGCTGAGTGCACAGGAAGCAGAAGAATCACTTCCCTCACCTGCTGACAGTGGTCTTACTAATACAATCCAGGATGCTGTTGACTTCCCTTATCACAAGGGCACATTGCTGGCTCACATTCAACTTGTCTCTCAGATCCTCCAGGCACTTGTCTGCAAAACTGCTCTCCAGGATGTCAGATCGCAGCCTATATTGGGGCATGGGATTTTTCCATCCCAGATGCATTGATTTGTTAAACTTCATTAGATTCAGGTTGTCCAGTTCACCAACCTTCTGAGGTCCCTCTGAATGGCAGCAGAACTCTGGTGTATAAACCACTCCTCCACATTTTTATTCAGAAAAATGCTGAGGATGCAACTCTGTCCCCTCATCTGATTCATTAACAAAGATAAAAGACGTTGGCGCTGGTATCGACCCTCAGAGTATACCTCTAGGGACCAGCATGCAGCTGAACTTCAACCTGCTGGTCCTAAATTTTTAAGTCTGGCAGTTCATCCAGTTTTCAGTCTACCTCATCATGCATCCTATACTTCATCAGTTTATCTATAAGGATATTATGAGAGACTCTGTCAAAAGCCTTACTAAAGTCAAGATAAACAGCATCCCTGCTCTCTGTTCATTTATCAAACCAGTCATCTTACCCTAAAAGGCTATCAGGTTGGTCAAGCATGATTTCTCCTTCATAAATCGATTTTGACTAATCCCAATCTCCTTCTTGTCTTTCATATGTTTGAAAATGGCTTCCAGCAGGATTTGCTGTATCATCTTTCCAGGTATGCTGGTGAGGTCGACTGGTCAGAGTAGTTTTCTGGGTCATTCTTCTTACACTCCTGAAAGTAGGGGTGATGTTTGCTTTCTTCCAATCCACAGAAACCTCTTGTGATCATCATAGCCTTTCAAAAATAATATCTCTTGAAACTAAGTAAAAATCTACTTTTGTACTAAGATGTACAGGCAACATGATGACAAATGGTGATAAAAACCCTGCAGTAAATTAGTAGAAACTCCTTGTCTACTCTCCCAAGGTCAAAAATATTATCTACATGATAGTTTTGAAACACAA